TTGATATGAAATGAATGCACATATGGACACAACAAGGCCTAAACTTCATCATGGATAATCCGGAGTGTAGGTGACCGGGAATTGAGACACGTTCCGTCACTCGAAGTACGAAACGTCCCTCGTTTCCCGTGCTCGGGCTAACTCCTATCCCAAGCACAATGCAATATGCATGACATGCATGAATGCAACTAATATACAACCTAGCATGCACAATGCTATGAGATGGCATACACGATGCATGAGGTAACATGGCATACACAATGCTCTAACATACAACCTAGCATACGCAATGCTATGAAATGAAATGGCATACACAATGCAATATGGGCTTACACCAACATGAGTGGACCTCAGCCACACTCACATAAGAGGCCATGAGATGAAAATGAGACACTCGAAATGCGTGCACACGTGCACGCAAACCGAGGACCGATCCTAAGGCACAAATGTCACTCTAACAAGGCATGGCAAGGCACGAAATATGGCATACAAACATGCAAATTTCAGTACCAAAATATGATGCAAAACAGCCCCGAAACATGAAAACATGGCACCCGATGCATGAAATGAGACCCGAGACTCGAAACTAGGCGCATGGGATGACTTATAGCTATACAAAGCATGCATTTTTTGAATATGAAGCATGAAGACAGAATCAAGGCAGTCCCAAAACATGCATATTTTTAGTTTTAAGCATGGCCAAAAGGTGAACATAAATGGGGCTAAGTTAACATGCAAAAATGGCCCCAAAAGAGAGATAATAAGCAAGTAGTAGCTTCTGGCCCTAAATGGTCAAGAGCCCTTCAACAAAGTTGAAGAGAGGCTCAAAATGAAGTACTTCACAGTTTACAACAAGCCATGGATCTAAACACAAACAGGCCTAAAACATTGTGCAAGAAATGAGCCAAAAGGGGGACAAAGAAGCAAGTGATGGTTGCTGGCCTCAAACATACGAGGGCCTTTCAACAAAGTTGAAGAGGGGCCCAAAACATGGTATTTTATAGTTTATGATCAAACTCAAAACAGTGCACATGCAAGCTTAAAATGCTATGCAAAATAAGGCCTAAAAAGAGGTTTAAACACAAAGATCCAAAAGGGAGCTTCAAACAGAAAAGGTCCCTTGATCAAATATGAAGAGGGGGTCAAAATAAGGCTATTTACAGTTTGGACCAGGGCCCAAAAACACAAGCACGAGGGGCTAACAAAACATGCAAAAATAAGGCCAAAAAAGGGGTAAAGAGGCAAGTGACAAAAGGAAGCCTCGAACAGTGAAGAGCCCTTCAACAATGTTGAAGAAGGGCTCAAAATAAGCCACTTTTCAGTTTATAACCAAGCTCAAAACAATTTACAAATGAGCCTAAAATACTATGCAAGAAAGATGCATACAAGAGAGGTAAAGAAACAAGTGCAAAAAAGAAGCCTCAAACAGGGAGAAGTACTTAAACAAACATGAAAAAGAGCTCAAAATAATACTATTTTCAGTTAAGGTCGGAGCCCAAATATGCAATCAAGATGAGCTAATATATTGAGCAAAAATAGGCAAGAAAGAGAGAGAAGGAGACTTACCCTTGTAGCCTATGTCTTCAAAAACTCTTGGACCAAATTTGGTGGCTCTCAACCTCTGGAAAACAGCCTCAAATTTCTGGAATGGAAGATGGAGGCTTTGTGCTAGGTGGTGGTGTAGAAATGGTGTAGGGTTTCGAAGGTTTTGGTGCTTGGAAGAGAAGGAGAGGGAGGATCAATGCAAGAGCCTCAAAGTAATTTTTTGTAACCCCTCAGATGGGTGCTGGAGGTGCTGTTATATAGGCAAAAGAGGGGGAATAGAGGGGGGAAAAAAAGGGGGGAAATGAATTCAAGTTTCCCCCCAAAAGTGCAGCCCCCCGGATACACAATTTGGGGGGAAACAAAATACATATCTGTAATGTACTTGGAGAGAGGATCAAGGCCGGCTGGTTTGCTAGGGTTTAGGTGGCTGGCCGGCTCTCCCCATGGCTGGCCGGCCAAGGGTCAAAAGGCTCAATGAAGATTAATGGCCGGCCATACCAAAAAGAGGGCCTCTCATGTGTGCACAACACAACCATGTGGTCAAAAACTGGAGAGGATGAACCAGGAGAGAGAAAAGGCCACTTTTATGAGGGGTTCAAAAGGGTCACACACAATTACTGGCCGGCCATATGATATTGGTGGCCTCCCAGGTGTGTACAACACAAATATGTGGTTTGGGGCAAGAAAAAATGGCCTTAGGGTGGTCAACATTGGCTTTCAAGTGAGAAAAATGGTCGACGGAGGGCGATGGAGGAATAAAATTGGTTTTCAGAACAATTACTGGCCTCTCACCCTTCTACGACCTTCTTAACAATGAAACAGAGGTCCCTGCCAAAAATGAACCCAAACCGATGCAAAATGAAGGTTCGGGGGCCGAAACGGGCAGCCCGAGGCCCCGAAAACTGACTGTTAGGCACCGGAAGTGGTGTTCGACCACGAAGTTGGTTTTTTGAGCCATAGTGTCCCTCAAAAGGGAGCAAATAGGATGCATGCCAAAAATCGGAGTAAACAGAGGTGGTTAAGTGGTCCCGAACCGAGGCACACGGCCAACGGCTCCGAAAAATCGGAAACCGGACTCCAAACCGGCAAAATGGCCTACGACGACGAAACGTAGCCTACGGCCACTGAGAGATGATCTACGAGACCTCTCCCTCCCTTCGGGAAGAGAAAACAGAGAAAACAGAGCCTGGTTCGCAAACCGAGACCAGGCATGAAAGAGTCCGAAAGTCCGGAGGCAAGGCTCGCAGCCAGGACTCTGAAACCTCTGAACGAGCACGATATGCAACATCACCAAGCGCTCAATCGGTGACGTTCGAGTCTTAAGATCGGTCAAAAATGAGATGTCTACAGCGGGAGACTGATAAGATAAAGTAACAGCCACAGCATAGCAAAGCTATAGTAGCACAACATAGCAAAGCTATGGTAGCAGCCACACAGTCACAGCATAGCAAAGCATAACAGCAGAGCAACTTCAGCAGTCATGTGTGAATTACCAAGGCTAGGTAGTTAGTTTGTTAGAAGTTAACTTCAGTTTATTAGGCAGTTATGGTGAGGTTAATTGTATCAGTCTTGTATATATACTATCTCCTCAGTGTAATGTAGATCTATTTAGAAAATTAATAAAGTTTGAGACATTCTTGTTTCCTCTTTATTATTTTTCACTTTTTATATTCGTAAAAATTAATGTTCTAATTTACACTTCATTATTAAAAAAATTGTTAGAATATTTGTTTGCTCCATCTATGTTTGAATCTTGCGTTCTTCGCTAGAGTTGGGGCATCTAAAACATTACAGGCATTCGATTCTTAAGGCTATAACTTTGGTAATGGCAGGTCAACTTGCACATCAAGACACGATCAAGCTCTACTAATAGCATATCAGGTTCTAATAGCATAACTATAAGACTTGATCACCAAAAAAAAAATAGTGAAGATATGATATTATTGAATTTTTTATATGAGACTCAATTCGGATCAAGAGTGTCATAGGTTTTACTTCAAACTTTTTTTATTTCTATACGAAAATGCTAGTATTTTGATAATGAAAACTACTTCTATAATATAAAATTCATCATCTTCAAGTTTTCTTATTTTTTTCTTTTATTTATTTATTTATCCACTAGCTAATAAAGTGCGCCTCTAGCTTCCCCAATAAAAAAATTTGGGAAGGAAAAAGTTAGAGATCATGAAAATTTTGTTATGAAAATGATCATGAAAAATTTATGATCCTTGGATTACCTTGATTAGTGTGTGGTGTTTCATTCTAAATGTAATCCAAGGGTCACGAAACTTTCATGATTATTTTCATAAAAGGTTTTTCATGATACCTAGCATTGCTGATTTCGGAACAGCACAGCCTAAAGTTGACAACTTCCATCTTCCAATGCATTCAATCATAATGTACCTGTAAATGGAAATGTCCACCTTTGAACTCTGCTACCGACCCCCATTTGCCTTTGCATTTTCACTCTATATAAGTCCTACAATGTGCCAAGGATTTACCCATCTCTCTCTCTCTCCATCTCTCTCTCTCACACACACAGACATATCCCTCCAACATGTCTTCCTCAACATTCACCTCCTCTCTCTACCTTCTTTCCTTCACTATTCTTATCCAAATTGTCATTGGAGTCAACCCTCTCTTCCATTTTTGTTCAAGTCCTGAAAATTTCACAGCTAATAGCCCTTATGAATCAAACTTGAACAAGCTTATGAGCTATCTCTACCTCAAAACCCCTGCAACAGGGTTCGGTGTTGGCTCAATGGGACAATACCATGACATAGCCAACGGCCTCTCTCTCTGTCGTGGTGATGTCAACTCCACAAACTGCGCTGCCTGCGTTGCTGAAGCCAGTGGCGAGATTCGCAAACGCTGCCCATACAACAAAGGATCGGTCATATGGTACGATAACTGTCTCGTAAAATACTCAAACACCGATTTCTTCGGCAAAATTGATAATGGAAACAGGTTCTACATGTGGAACTTGAGAAATGTGAGCAACCCTTTGTCATTCAACCAAAAAACCAAAGATTTGTTGAGTCAGCTATCTCAACAAGCTTTTGTAGCACCAAAAATGTACGCTACCGGAGAGTCGGAGCTTGGATATTCAGAGAAACTCTATGGGTTGGTTCAATGCACTAGAGATCTTTCTAGTGTTGATTGTAAGAAGTGTCTTGATGAAATCATAAGTGAGCTTCCAAGTTGTTGTGATGGGAAAGAAGGTGGGAGAGTAGTTGGAGGGAGTTGTAACTTCAGATATGAGATTTATCCATTTGTGAATGCTTAGAGCATATCACAGTTTGTGATATTACAAATGAATAAGTGTTATAGGAACACTCGAGGAAGAATGGATATATATTTTGCCAACTTATTGGTATTTGCTGCCTGTTTTGGCTTTCTTATGTATTGTTGAATAAAATGCATCTCTATGATGATTTGTGTATGAAGGAATGACGTTGTAAAAACTATACATTGATGTGGTTGAGTTATGATCAATTGCTATATTTTGTATAAATGATATTTCATTGCTATAAATCAAGAAGAGCAACACTACAAATCTAGAAAAATTCAGAATTTATCAAGATTTAATTTATTTGAATGAGATTCATTCTAGGTGTGGCTCACGGCACAACAACCCTTCATCTACACTATACACTCATTTTTTGAACAATTTTCATCGTTGATAAATCTGAACAGTAGCATTTGTCAATAAAGAATGATATAAAAGATATTTCCCATATATGCAAATAGATTTTTTCTATAAATTTGTTTACAAAAATGATGTGACTGTTTGCTATCATTTCATTCAAATGGTTTATAATATTAAAACATAACAATCACATGATTGCAGATGTATTTTTTTGAATGAATGATTTGTGCATGAATGAATGATGTTGTAAAAACTATACATTGATGTATGATCAATTGCTATATTTTGTATAAATGGTATTTCATTACTATAAATCAAGAAGAGAAACATTACAAATCTAGAAAAATTTAAAATTTATCCAGATTTAAAATATTTGGATGAGATTTATTATAGGTGTGGCTCGCAGCACAGTAACTCTTCATCTACCCCACACTCAAATTTGGACAATTTTCATGGTTGATAAATCTAAACAATAGCATTAGTCAATCAAGAATGATATAAATGATATTTTTCATATATATATATATATATATAAATAGATTTTTTTCAATATATTTTTTACGAGGATGACGTGACTGTTTGCCATTGTTTCATTCAAAATCAAAACCATAATGGTTTATAGTATTAAAACACAACTGTCACATTATTTTAAAAATAATTAGACTGTTAAGTTTTTGAGTTTTTTAAAAATAGTTTTTTGAGTTTTTAATTCCAATTTTTGTATTTTTAATGACTTTTAAAAATATTTTAATTAATTTTTTTTTTAATTTTTAGATCCACTTAATCTTAAAATATTTAAAAAGTAAAAAAATTGTATAATTTAAAAAAAAAATAAATTCATGCAATAGAACAAAATACGAAAATGCATTGAATTTTTTTTTTTTTTTTGTATTTGACGAATCATTCTAAGTTGTTTCCAAAAATATTATATTTTTCAAGCATATTTAGATTAATTGTATCTAAAAACAACAAAACAATTGCGCAAAATATTAAAAAAATTCACTAGAAAAAAAACACAGAAAAAAAAAATTATTCTTCTAAAAAGTCGATTTAGTTTTGTGGAAACAAACATGGTGATTATGTTTTTGACTAAAAATGAAAAACCTTCCTAGATGGATTTTAATTACCAAAAAAGGAGGGGAAAATACATTTCAGTATAGATTTAGAAAAAAAAAAATTACACTTAAGTGGTAAACTTTATAAATATTAATGATTAAAATTTTTAACTTTTTCATGTATTTGTAAATATATATATGTTTTTTTAAAATTCACTGAATTGTAATTTTTTCACACAAAAAAAAAAATAGAGAAAACTACGGCTATGTTATTTTATAGAAAAAATCAGTATAATAAATTTTTGAAAAAAATAGATTTTTTCTTTTGGTATGCTAAATACATTCATTTTTTTTTTTACAAAAAAAAATAAAAATAAAATGTAAACCATAAAAAAGACAATGTGAGAGATGGAATGTTTTCAATGACATGCCAGTGTTGGACAAGAAAGAATACAAAAAGGAGTTATATTTATTTCAATTTTAAATTTAAATTTTAAAGAATTTGAGAGATTTGTAGAACTCATCCCTACTCTATTTTCATGATCAACGGTTTATTTAGAATTACCTGTCTATATCTTCTTTAAGAAAAATTAAGTTCATCTAATTAATAATCGTAACCTTTTTATTTTGTCTTGTTTGTCTCTAAAAAATTGATAATTTATTTTTAAAAATATACTTATAGTCCATATTTTTTTGAAATAAATGGGAATTAAACCATTTTTTATGTTTTGGTTTTGATTAATTTCTTAAATTTTATGATTTAGTTTGATTATTAAACTTTTAGAATTGTAGATGCCAATTTATTTATCAATTCACGTCATACTTGAATTAAACCGATCCGTGAACAATCCTGATAAAAATCATCTTCTTAAATAAAATTGGACATTAGGCTTTGAATTACATTGCGTATGAATATATATATATATATATATATAAGGTGGATTTAAAAAAATTTGCTTGGCTTTGTTGAATCATTAAGCTTTTCATAAATAAAATTAAATTGACTCGCTCTCTTTTTACTCTTTTCATTAATGTAAATTACATTTTATTGTTTAAGGAACCTTATTCAATGTTATGACACGTTCTACTATATAAATTGCCCAATTAAGAACTGTTTTGAAAAAGCACCTCTCTCAGCTGCAACCTATAGTACTGATTTTTAAAAACATTATCCTAATTGACCATCGACCTCAAATTAATCATATTTTGTACTTTATAGGATGGCCAAAAATAGGATGGTAAAAAATTGGGGTAATGAGATATGTAATTGCATGAGTAAAAGCGTGTATAATATTATTATAATCTAGAAGCGAGAGAACATGTCAAAACAGGTGATCATCACCACCACAAAGCATACATTTGTGGTTAATTGCCTAATTTGTTTGTAGTTAGTGTTGGTGCTAGTACCTAATCAACTTCCCAATGGAAAAATTTCTCTAAAGAAAAATTATTACACTCTTATCGTAGGAATGATCATGTGAAACTCTAATTCAATCGCTTAAATATTGCTTATTATGAATAGTCACATCTTAATATTACTTAAACATAAATATAAATATAAATATAATCAGCTTGCTTGTTTTATTTTTTAAAAAACACTTTTCAAAAAATTTTACTTTCTTATTTTCTGTATTTTTTTGTTTTTATTGATTTTTTTAAATATTTTAAGTAATTTTTTTACTTTTTAGACACACCTAACATAAATACATCTAAAAAGTAAAAAAATTGTAAAAAAAATCTTTTAAAAATTCACTAAATACCAAAAATACAAAAAAAAAATACAAGAATTCAGTACATTTTTTGTATTTCTATGTATTTATTAATTTTTTAAAATATTTTTTCACAAATTTTTTACTTTTTAGATACATCTAACTAAGGTGCATCTAAAAAAGTAAAAAAAAATGTTTAAAATTTTAAAAATATCCACTAAAAACAAAAGAATACGAAAATAAAAAAAATTAGTTTTCAAAAAATTTAATCTAGAAAACTCAAACCAAACACACTGAATAGACTTTGTAAGAATGGTTTTGGAAAAATAGTTTTTCTTAAACATTGGTCTATTTTTTAAGTGGGACTCATGCGTCGAGGTTGGTGGGTATTGGTAGTAACGCGTTTTATGCTATGTTGTGATTCACATATTATATTTGATTATTCAAAACCATTATTAGGTGAATAGGAAATTGAAGCCAAAGTAAGCTCTATGAAAATGGTGTTTTGGTGGGTTTTCCAAATTGAGAAAGGAAAACTTGTCCCACATTACTTAGCTAGGCTAACATTGTATGGGTTTATAAGCTTTGGGTTCACAACTTGGAGAGGGCCCCAAGGGTTACCCAAGTTTTGTGGAAGGGTAAGGTTATGGACAAAGTAAGCTAGATCCACTGGACCCAAAACAAACACGCACATCGCCGTCTATTAGGCAGGCTAGGCTTGGGCATGGGTGCAAGGTTGGGTTGGGCTTGTTCAGTCCAATGCTTATCTTTTTGGGCAAAAAATATTTGAATTTTATATTTTTTAAATTAAATTCTTACAGTTTGGTCCAAACTTAATTCCGAAATAACCCCATCATATTAAAATGCTGATAGTTTGGTTTAGCACACCTGTCCAAATTTTTCCTCCAACCGAACAGGTTCATTATCTCCTCAAATTTAACCTGAACAGGTACTTTACTTGTTCAAATCTATCCGAACAGGTTTATTACCTGTTGAAGTCTATTCTGAAAAGCCACTAGTTCACCTATAAATAGACAAGTCTTCCATTTAATTTTTCATCCAATTTTCGTTCTTCTTACTTGCTTTTATTTCCTACATTTTGCTGCATAAATTTCCTATGAGAAAGGGCATAAACACAAAGTGTGTTCATTCGACATTTAATTTTTAGTGCTGCTACTAAATTGTCGTTGATCATTTTATCCTGAGAGATAGACTTCCATAATCTGAAACTACCGTGGAGAGGACGAATCTGTCTTAAGGACAGGGTATTGAACACTGGACTTAATCAAATTTTCTTCAAGAAAATAATACTGTATGTAGTTGGTTATGGTTTTTTTTTTCCTTTGTTTTTTTTTCCAAGATTTTGGTTTTGTTTTATAATAAAATAAGAATCTATTTATATATATATATATATATATATGTAATGTTTTGATTTTTGTAATCAAACAGACTCTCTCATTTCTTAATTTTGTTTCTTCGAATACTGTGAAGATTGGCTAACAAATTTTACTATCTAATTAAATTATAGAAGAAGAAAATACCCTAAGCACTTCATTTGCTTCGTCTTTGGACAAACATGCTAGCAGAGCCCCATAAAAAGCCCTTCGGTACAACTTCCCTTGGTCAAGGAAGAAGCGTACGGTCTACCTATTGACTTTGATGGCATTTAGGGATTTTTAGGAAGTACCCTCTTTTCTAGTGAATCAATGTATGGTGGTTTTCATTACGCACTGCTCAAATGGGCTTCTTTTTCCTTTGATAAGCTTGAAAGTTCACTATTTGCTTTTGCAAATCAGCACTTTCTTTTTTCATTTTTGGCTAGTAATAGCCCTACATCTGTATGCATTGGTACAGCCTGATATCTCCATCTCCAAAGGTCTTAGCATAGATCTTCTTAAGTTTATCAGTTGCCTTTTGCTTGCCAACGCATCTTGCCAATAAGTTGTTTGACCCTCCAAAATGCAGTTCTCCATTGAAGAGCAGGAAATGTGCTAATTCTACTAGGCTTTTGCCCCTCT